GAACCCCCTTCCCCTCCCCCTTTTCTGATGAAGGGTCTAGGCCCGAAACGTCAGCCTCTCTGCTCCTATGATGCTGCTTGGCCTGCTGTGTTCATCCAGCCCTGCACCTTGTTGTCTCTTACCAACAGGAACTCACTTCTCCCACACCAATCTTTTAAGCCGTGTATTCATCTCCCTAACTTTATGTACCCAATGGCAATTTGTACTGGGCTCAGGTAATAATCCAGAGATTATAATCATTAAAGGTTCTGCTTTTTAATTTGTGCAAGGTTCCTCATGCTCTCTATGCAGGACATCCTTTGCATTTCTAACTACATCATTGGTATCTACATGGACCACACCTACTGAATCCACCCCCTCAGGCTGAAATTCCTTTCCAGTCCCAAGTGGATGTCACAAAACCTGGCACTGGGCAGGTGACACAGCCGCCTGGACTCTCACTGTCTGCTGCAGAGAATCGTGTTGATTTCCTTCGCTATACAATTCCCCATTGCCACATTCCTTGCTGCTCCCGAACTTGAATGTACCTGTACCATGGTGCCGTGGTCAGTTTGCACATCCACACTGCAGCCCCTACTCTCAGCCAAACAGGCTGAGAGAACATCAGATGTATTGGAAACTGTAAAGCCTGTTGTTCCTCCCTGGGGGACCTCCTACTTGCCCCACTCGCAGTCACCCCCTCCTTTCTCTGACCACTGGCTATCTATCTGTCTATTTCAAGTGGTGTGATTGTGTCCAGGTACAAAGAAGCCAGGTAACTCTTCCCCCATCCCTGACGTGTTGCAGTATTTGTAATCCAACCTCCAGCTGAAACCCTGAGCGAAGCTGCTCGAACTTCAGACACTGACTGCAGACATGTTTACGTTGAATTGCAATGGTATCCACATGCTGCAGCCTTGACACATTACCTGTCCCGCCATTCTTAATGTGTTTTAATTAATTAATTAATTATGCTGCTTTGTCTACATAATAAAAATTATCCAATGTTAAAATTTAAGAACAGAAAAAACCTTAACCACTTAACACAGACCCATCAAACAGTTAGCTCCTTTCTCTATACAGCAGAAGAACCATTTCAGTCAGCTGAAATGAAACCATCTCTGTCTCTAACTGCCTGCCATGGGGCCCTTTTTTCACCCCTCTTCTTGGTGGTGCTGACTGCCTGGCGCTGGGTCCTCACTCATCCACCCCTCTGGCCGATGTGTAACACCAGGCCTACAGCAATATGGCTCACTTTTAAGTGCACTCCGAGATGGCTGAACAAGTCACTCATTTAAAGGGCAGTTGGGGATATGCAACAAAGCTGGCCAGCCAGCAACATCCACATCCTGTAAAATGAGGACAAAATGAAAATCGCAGTATCAGGTGCTCTACTAATGTTAGACCATTCAGCTAGCCTCTCATTACACGCGGAGCATGACAGAATATTAAGCCCGTACTGCATCAATAAAATGGTTAGTTTTTTTTGTCACAGAGAGCTTTGGTTGGAAAGTGGAGGTCATCCTACATTCTCTTTAAATTCATTGTATGGCTTACAGTATTTCAACAACTCTTTCTCCTCAGAGTTAAACCTTGCAGGAAATTACCTGAAACAGCTCCCCGATGAAGTTAAATCCTTGACGCACTTGACAAGCATTAACCTGGCAAGGAACAAATTCTCAGTTTTCCCCCAACAGCTAACTGAACTGACAGCATTGGAAACGATTAACCTGGAGGGGAATCAGATTGCTGGTGAGTATTTTAAGTCGGTGGTACATGTGCAGTGGATGTAGATTGATTCAGTATTGTTCAGCGATGCCTACAAAACCTCTCTGAGACACTGGGCAGCATTTGAAACCATTCATGATGTTTTGAGGGAGGAATTAGACATGGTTATTTCCCTGTTTCTCCACATCCACTCCTCTGTTTCTGTCTTTCATGTCCTCATTTGTTTCATTGTGAGTATCACCCTAGATTAAAAAAGGAGCTGTCAAGCTGGCAATCTCTTGGATCCACTCTGCACAATGTACTGGGTAGATCAAGATGACACCAGCTAATGCGAAGCAGCAGGGTTTGTGCATAGGAGCATTCACATAAAAGCATTCATCCCTCAGTCTCTGTACTGTTCTTCTCAATGATTTCCACCTCCTATTTCAACTCATCGTGTTCCCTCTTCTGAGCTCATTCATCCCTTATCCTCCCATAATTTTTCTCTCTGTATAATTTCCCTGACTCATTGACAGATAGCTCCCAACTTTGTCATGTCACCTGGTCTTGCTGGTCTTGCTGGTCTTGGTCATATTAACCATAGATTCAGCTAAATCCAGTCACTTTCTTGTGTCATTCACCATTCGCCTAACCTATCCTCATTCCAACAGTATCTCCTTCTGTATTCATCCCTGAAAAACTATCTCCCCATTCAATTAGAACTGCACTCACAAAATTCCTACTATCCTACCATCTGCCACCTCATTTCTATTTCAAAGTTCATTCAAGGGAATGTGGGTGTCACTGGCTGGGTTAGTATTTATTGTCCATTCCTAATTGTCCTTGAGAAGGTGGTGATAATGAGTTGCATTCTTGAACTGCCAGACTTCTTAGTGGTTAGATACAACTTTGTGGCTTGCTGGGGCAATTTCAAATGGCAATTAGGAAGCAATCACATTATGTGGGTCTGGAGTCACTAGTAGGCTAAACCAAGTAAGGACAGCAGATTTAATTCCTTAAAGGACATTAGAGAACCACATAGCTTTTTACAACCTGGTCGCCACTAGATTAGCTTTTGATTCCAGATATTTATTGGACTTAAATTCCACCATCTGCTATGAGATTTGAACCTGTGTCCTAGAACATTAATCTTGGCCTCCAGATTACTATGTTATGGACCAGGCCAGAACCCCTCAAAATATTTTAGGAAGGTAGCCAAGACACTGACTTTTTCTTATTTTAAAGGCAGATGTGAAGTGAGTGTTCTGGCCAAACCACTCCGCTTTAAGCAAAACAAAATTTATTTATACAGTTTAAATACAAACAAAAGAAAGTGGAATTTACAGTAACTTAACTATTGGAAAACTTAACCAACTGGATACAGCAACTTAACTAATTAACTGTTCCAATATAGTAACATCCCATAAACACACCCCTTGGCAAAAAGGTGAATTCAAACATAGATTCTTACAGCCAGGAGGGAACAACATCTAGAGAGGGATTCAGAGAAGGTCAGAGGAATCTTTTACTGAAACTTGCAACACTTCTGGTACTCAAAACATCATGTAACTGCTACAGCTAAAAAAACCTGTATCAGAGATAGTAGCAACTGCAGATGCTGGAGAATCTGAGAAACAAGGCGTAGAGCTGGGTGAACACATCAGGCCAAGCAGCATCATAGGAGCAGGAAGGCTGACGTTTCGGGCCTTTCTGAAGAAGGGTCTAGGCCCGAAACTTCAGCCTTCCTGCTC